TTTTCAAAAAGAAAATTTTTCTTTATAAAAATTACGGTCCATTTTCATCCACCTTCAAAATTCAGGCAAAGACATTTTCTTGTGGATTTCAATCTCCAGAAGTTCTTTTGCCTCCATTTCCTCGGTAACTCCTACAATTTTTTTAGAATCGCCATTTAAAATTTGGAAATTTTTTGGATTTAAAAAAAAATATATATTTAAAACCGAATAATTCCAAAATCTTCCACTGAGATCATAAATTATATTTAGAATTAGCGCTTCAAAATCTATATACCTGAATTTTTTGAAAATTTTTCGGCAACTTTTTCAAAAAGAAAATTTTCCAGTACCTATTTATGAGAACTTCGGCCCATTTTCGTCCCTCTTTGAGTTTCAACCAAAAATCTTTTCTTGTGGATTTTGACTTCAAAACTAACGTTCAGCACCATGTCTTCGACAACTTCTTCCATTTTGCTATAATTATCGGTTGAAATAGGGCAATTTTTACAATTAAAAAAAATATAGATTTCAAAGTGAATATTTCCAAAATCCTGCATCGGGACCATAAACACGCTATATTTTTGGAATCGTCGCGTCAATATCTAGGTATAGACCCGATTTCTTCGGAAATTTTTCGACAATTTTTTCAAAAGGAAAATTTCTCTTTGTGAAAATAAGACCCATTTTCATCCATTTTCAAGACATTTTCTTGTGGATTTCGATCTCCACAAGTTACTTTCGGCCCCATTTGTTCGGTAACTCCACCATTTTTCCAGAATCACCAATTGAAATATTGCATTTTTGGGATTTTTAAAAAAAAAATTGGATTTCAAACCGAATAATTCCAAAATCTTCCACCGAGATCATAAATACGCTATATTTTTGGAATTAGCGCTTCGAAATCTGTATACCTGATTTTGTTGGAAATTTTTTGACAAATTTTTCTCATTTTCGTCCATTTTCTAAATTCAACCAAAGACATTTTCTTCTGGATTTCGAAGTTTCTTTTGGCCCCATTTTTTCGGTAACTCCTACAATTTTTTTTAGAGTCGGCAATTGAAATAGGACAATTTTTATGATTTTTCGAAAAAAACTGAATTTCAAACCAAACATTTCCAAAATCTTGCACTGGTATCTACCATAAACACGCTATATTTTTGGAATCAGCGGGTCGAAATCTGTGTTCCTAAATAGAAAACTAATGTAAATCAAGGAAATTATAACCGAATTTATCTTAAAAATTTTTGTGCAGACACAAATTAAACATTTTTTAGTTGAATTCTGTTTTGCAACCCACTATAAATGAGGAATTTCCATTATTTAGGCAAAATTTCTCTCATTGCCAGTACTGAAACCACGTAATGATATGCACTTATGATATTGGTGATATCGACTTACCATGCATCACTTGTTAAATAGCAAATAACCGACGCTACTCTGATCTAACACCCTTAGAACAAAAGTATTTTATTATTATTATTATTGTAAAAATTTGTTTTATTACTTTACCTAAGAATGTTCATAGAAAGGACAAAACCCAATTAACTTGAAAAATATACATGATTACTAAGCATACCTCTAACTTAAACGGACAAAGATTATTATCTTTATTTTCTCGTTGTTACAGAACTTTACAAGTCTCTAATTTATTGCCCTACAAACCAACTGACATATTATCTTATTTATAAGAATTTCCTTTTCTATTTACAAAATTTATTTAAGTCGTTTTATATTTCTTTAATAACTGTTTTCAAAATATTTCAAAATTACCAAGTCTACACTTTCAGTTCTAACAAATCAAATATTGATCTTATCATAACATCTGCATCATCTCCCAAATTAGTCCTAACCAAGCTTTACAGCCCCAGAAATGGATCATAATTCTGTCATATCCAACTTCCAGTAGCTAGCATCCGCCACAAAAACTAAATGATCCTTTAACAAGAATCCCGTTTATTGCAGGTAATATCAACCTAATTATGAAACTTTCGCAAAACTCGCCCTTAAATCGCCGTCCAGTAGACCATCTCCCTCCCTATACAACAACGGGGCTGTTTATTTTACTTAAAGGAGAATATTTCCAAACAGTGTCGACAGTTTTACAACTTAACTGTGAGCAATAATGTCGGCAAAGTAAAACGGTCTGGGACAAACACCGGCCCGAGAGACGAACCCATTTCGTCACAGCTTGCTGGAAATTGGTCTATAAAAGTCAAAATACTCAAATATTGTGCCTTAATTTGTTACAGTAGCTACTCATCTGTATTGTTGCGATGCGAGGATGTCAGCGAGAATTATTGCCATCTGATGAAGCGTTGGATTGAGGGGTTTTAGGGGGTGTTAATCCGGGGATAAATCACACACCTGATGCCCCACCACGAGAAGTATGTCAGAGGGAGTGGATTATGTATGCTGAATGTGTTATTTAATGTGGATTTGCCTGATTTATTTTAAAACGTAAATCAAACTAGGAAATGTGTCTAAAACCGAGATAAAATTTAAATCCGAAATTAATAATAATAATAATAGACAAAGTTGGAGTCGATTTTTGCCGCCTTGTTGAAATACGAATCATAACCATTTAAGTTTTAGGTCCTTTCTGAACATTATTTTATTTTCTTTGTTTATTTTATCCCTTGTCTCAGTTCTTTCACACATTTTGTTTAATTTTTACTTCACAATTTTTTAACTAACAAAAATGTAATATATAAGGTTTGCCCTTCACGAGCAGTAGAATACGAAATTACAGGTTTCCGAATACGATTTCATGTGTGAAAATTTGTATTTTGAAAAGTCGGTATCACTTGAAATATTTAGAAAAGAAAGATTTTTTTTTCTAGTTTGATCAAAAAATCATTCCGAAGTGTACTCCACATTTATAACAGAAAAAATTGTCTTCAAACTGTATTCAAGCAAAGGAAGCTTCTAGTCAAAATCTTCTTCAGACCTGGTACTTCTAGGAATCCGGGTACTCCATTCGTTCAGCTATATAACAAACCTGGTAAACCGTGCAGAAGAGTATAAATGATTTTATATTTTTATGACTCACTCTCGTTTTATAGCCACATAATTTCGGATGCTACCGGTAGTGCAATAAAAGTTTAGATCTTTTGTATTTATTCCAAAATTCGCTGTAAAATATTTATCTTCGGTCGTTGATTGGCCATTATATTTCAACATTTCGCTCTGCTGTCGGAGCTTTCCCTCTGATTTATCTCTAGATTAACTATGAATAATACCTCTCTATAAAACTCTGGCGAGTATTACACTGTATTACACCCTTATTATTCGTGTTGTGACAAGGGCAACAGACGCTGCATTATATGATAATAGAGATATGTTGATATGTTAACCCCATTATACAAATAGGGGTAGAATAGGAAAAACGTGGGGTTATCTCTCTTTATTACATGAAGCGTTTCACGGTTCGAAGGCAATTCGCTCGCTTTATTGCGTTTCATGATAAGACCTACATAATTTTTGAGCGGAAAACTTTTATTAGAACGTCCGGAATTTTCTGATAAAGAAGCGAGTCAGCAGAAAGCTCATCGGAGAGACAGCTTTTAGACAGCAAATTATTTATATTAAGCATCTTGTTCGAGGAAATGGTATAACATTCATTTAGTTGATGCTCGAACTCAGATGGGATTCTGGTGCCAAGAGGCATTCCTGACGTTTTGATCATTTACTTTCATAAATTTTATCATCATGTGAATGAAAAGACTTAAAAACTCTAAACAAACTTTTGCTATCAACCTCATCATTAGTTAAAATTTGTTCAAAGCTAATCAATTTATAAGGCAACAGAGTTCTAAGCACTGTTCAACAAATTTTCGAAACATATTATTAAAAGAAATTATAAAATAGTAGAAATAAAAGTAGGTCTTCTATATTTCCCAAGTGAGAGTTTCAAAATATGCTATAGTAATTTAAATTTATTCCTATTATTATTATCATTATGTTGTTCAAAATCTTAATAGTAATTACTTGTTATAATTGACGAGACGCCACTGGCATAGGAATGCATTTATTGAAAACCATATTTGGTGTAGACCATCAATTTAATAGTGTTTTTTTGTATAATTTTAAAAACGTGACAAATTATTATCGAATACTTATTAACTTTTATGTTTGTAAAAAAGTGACAAGATTAATTTACGAACAGTTGCGCCGTATGCGTAAAATCTGTAATAAATTAGGAGCATTAGGTATTATTTTATATGTACTTCCATTTAATTGCAGTAGAGGAAACCACTTAGCATTCCATTAGATCTTTTTTTATCATCTTTAAAAATAGAACTCGGCAATTAATTATTACTAAATGTACTCGAGACAAATAGGATCATAATATATTAGTCTTAATGTTTGGCTACTAACGAGTTAAATCTTTCTCACGAAATAAAAACAAATTCAATCAAACCTTTCACTACAACCCTACGAGCCGGAACTCCTTGCAGCAGAATAAAGATAAACTTCTTAATCCACCCCTCACGAGACGTCACCATAGCAACCCCCGTTGTCAGTTACACATTACTGGCTGTACTCAAGATTGATATAAAACAAACTTCGCAACCCTTCCGAGGGATAAAATTTTCACAATTTCATAAAAAATTACGCCGGAGCTGTGCCCACGTTAAAATTTTTTTATTATCTTTGTCGTGTTCCTTCGTCTTATTTTCACTTTTATTTCTGTCAAAATAGTGCTAGAAAAAATGAACCCGAGGATAGACGTCGTGTAATATTTATTTATAGCCGAACTTTCGAAGAGCGGATTTTAGACAAAGAGCGACACCTAGTGGCGAGTAGAAGCAATACTTGTGTGCGGCATCTTGTGTTCGCTACAACAACTTAGTGATATAGATGGCGCTGTACGCCACATTTTGAAAGAAATTAGTGTAGGTGTCGCCACGTGATTCAAATTTAAAACTCATGGGTAATAAATTCCCCGAAGCGCACGATTGATTGTTGTCATAGCGACGATTACTAGTAAAATGTGACGAATAAACAAACCGATTTTATATTTTATTTCGTATTTAATTGACAAAACATTCTGTGATTTTTATGTGTCCAGTTCGGTCCACGTTGTTCGATTTTTCGTGCCTACTTTAACTACAATTTGGTCAGACTCGTTTCACTAACCTCTTATTATTAGTTATTAATTTAGATCAAGGCTATCATCGACAAATAAAACATTTACATGTCACCTAAATATTAAACGTCACCGTGACGTTTTTGTAACATCGATTCAAAATGATGTTTTACTTCACTTCTAAACAGTAATTACCAAAAATTTCTTAACTCGGGACGATGCCACAACCGAAGGAAAAAATTTTCGAAATTGACGAACACATTTCGAAGCGCTTCGACATCCAGAAGAGGCTGGGCAAAGGGGCGTATGGTATTGTATGGAAAGCTATAGATAGGAGGACTAAAGACGTTGTGGCTGTGAAGAAAATTTTTGATGCCTTTCGTAATCAGACGGACGCTCAAAGGACGTTCAGAGAAATTATGTTTCTGCAGTCGCTGAAGAACCATCCGAATATTGTTAAACTGTTTAGCATACACAGGTGAGTGTTAAAAGTGCACTTTCGTCTTTTATTGCAAAAAGTGCGCTTGGTTGTAGATTTCCCGCCAGATTTCTTAGGTTGCTGTGAACTTTAAATTGTGATTATCATGCACATGTTTTAAATTAATTAAGCTCTTTTCAAGTGGAACACCATAAATTTCGTTATTTTGTCGATAAAAGTGGGTTAGGGGGACGGAGAAATCGGTAGACAACCACAAGGGGCTGGTTTATGACGATATCGTAACATGCCATTAATGGATTGATCAATAGTTGTTTTCCACTGAACATAACAGTAATTATTTTGACGTTTATTTTCATTATACATGCAACAGTTAGACAAGTTTATGGTCACGGATTACCTTAAACGAGACTTTTGATCTTTCAGGGGTGCATTGTTGCAATTTTTTTTATTATATTTAAATAACAATTTATTTTGAATTTCTTTTTCTAATTTTTTGAACCAAAGAATAAGTTTTAGCCGCTTTGGAATACATAACTGACTATAAATCTGTACATAATAAATAGTTAATAGTAATATGAAAAAGATGATATTACTTGAATCTTAATAACACATCCAGTCTAAATAAAAGGGTCCACGGCGATATTTTGTTCCACTGATACCTGGAGTGCCTTAATCCCTCGTCTTAATTCTAGTAGTAACCTTTTCGTTTTTTAGAGCTGCCAACAACAACGACATTTACCTCGGTTTTGAATACATGGAAACAGATCTACACAACGTAATTAAAAAAGGAATCCTCAAAGACATCCACAAAAAGTACATAATGTACCAACTCTTCAAAGCCGTGAAATACATCCATTCAGGAAACGTGATTCACAGAGATTTAAAACCAAGCAATGTCCTTCTAGATATCATGTGCAGGTACTGCCTCTACATCTAGCCAAACTTGTAATAATCTAGTCCTTCCATAGATGCAAGATCGCCGATTTTGGTCTCGCACGTTCCTTAAGTCAAAGTTCCGATGGTACCTTTAGTGAGACTGATCCAACATTAACCGACTACGTAGCAACACGGTGGTACCGAGCACCTGAAATCCTCATAGCGAATAGACGATACACCAAAGGCATCGACATGTGGAGCTTGGGCTGTATTTTAGCGGAAATAACAGCCGGGAAACCCGTTTTTCCCGGATCTTCAACGGTAAATCAAGTGGAGAAGATCATGGCGACTATTTCTACACCATCGCAAGAAGGTACTTACTCACTCAACTTTCAAGCAAACTATATCAATATTTACTTTATTGTAGACATCAACGCGGTTTGTGTATCAGGAGTAGGCACATCCATGATCAAAAACGCCTCTTCTGTGGAAAAAATCCCTCTCCACACCCTCCTAGGAAAAAACGCTTGCAAATCAGTCATCTCTCTCATCAACAAGTTGCTGATTTTCAACCCTAACAAAAGACTGACTGCTGAGGAAGCTCTGGAGCATGATTACGTGTCAGCGTTTCATGATCCAGATCAAGAAATCGTTTTAGCGCGTGATATTGTTATACCATTCAAAGACAACGTTCGCTTATCAGTAGAAGACTACCGAAACAAACTCTACGAAATCATGTCGACCCATCACGGTAGAAGTAGCAAAGGTACTTGTAAGACGAAAACTCTAACACCGGAACTTCCGCCTAGAATTACTAGAAACTACGTCAAACCGTCCCAGCTCAAGGACCCAAAATCTTCTGGAACGCAATCGGAGCCCAAAATTAACTACAGCAGGCCTAACCACGTGGTGGCCATAATCAAATCCGACTCCAAGGTGGCTGCTAAGCAGAATCTGCAGTTTTCTAAGGGGATGAATGGTAGCAGGGTGCATGTGAACGAGAAGCAACAGCTGAGGGAGAACGGGAGGAAGAGGTTTTCGAATGTGAAGAGTGGGTATTCGACTTTTAATAGTTACAGCCAGTCGCATGGGATCATAAGTCAGAGTACTCTGATGGAACTGAAGGCGTCTGGTATGCGGTAGCAGTTTGGAATACAAGAGGAGTTTGAATTTTAACACTTTTACACAGTATTATTTACCGATCACTTTTTGATCTATGAAATATGCATAAGTGTTATGCACTTGTACTTTTCGTAAATAAAAAATTTTATTATATTTTGGTGTTCAATAAGGAGTGAATTAAAGACACTTCAAATGTCATCCTACGATAGCACTAGAAAGACTTGTGCGGCATATCTACTTGTTCGCAGTACAAAAATCTTCAAGTTTTTATATTGCGTTAGAGGCTTTCGTTTTTTAAGTATTTTGGCTTGTAAAGAGTTATTATTATTATTATTTAATTATTATTTAATTAAATTGCCCAACGGAGAAAATTCCATTTACAGGGCAAGGTTAGAAGTAATGAATATTAACAAACAAACAAGAAAATTGGTGAAAGAATTCAATGTAACTAACACAGCAAGAAGTGTTCACGAATCCTATTGAAGGAATTTAATCTAAAAATATCTACAGCGTGTTCAATATTTTCGTAATTTGTAATCATTCGATAGATAGGAGAGTTAGATAGAATGTTCGTTTTGAACTTTGATATAAAGAAAATATTATGAAGCCTTTTATTAAATGCTGGAACTGCAAAGTTTATATTATTTAGTAGCTCTGGACTATCGATTAGGTAGTGAATTAATTTAAATAAGAAAATTACAGAAAAATACGATCGCCTGCAAGACAGAAATGGGAGGTTTATACGTTTAAGAAGTAAATCTTCTGGGTAACCTCGAGGTGGATAAACACCGTCCATCAAAAATAATGCAGATTTAGCAAAACGACGTTGCACTTTCTCAATTGATCTTATGTGTATATTATAATTAGGTGACCACACGACACTCGCGTATTCCAACTTTGGACGAACAAACTACAGATTCAACCCTTACATTGTGTATTGTGGGTTGCCTGCCTACAGGTCAACGACATAACAAATCTAACCCTTACATTGCGTATTATGGGTTGCCTGCCTACAGGTCAACGACACTACAGACACAGTATATACAGGGTTAGTCACCAGAGAATTACTTCTGAAAATTATTTTTACGCAACCCAAAATACTAATACCCTGTACCACTTGATATTATCTAAATTTAAAATGAAATGCCTAATCCATGATTGCTTTGAGTTTGGCAGTGTCACTTTGACGTTAATTAATTTTTAACATTTTTTTTTCATCGTTGACTCGCCTCTAGAGCCCCATTGGATCGACGACATACATTCAGATCAATCTGGGCTATACTGAAGCCGTAAGTGCTCTACCAATGTTGTTCGCCGCTAATGTGCATGTGTTAATTCGCCATCTCTGCGTCACCTAGAGCCTCTTCGAAGTGCAAATCTGCAACCTCTGGACTTCTTCGGCCATCCATTTACAAAAAAGCCGTAGCATCCCCCCAAAATGCCCAACATTTTCAACAGATTAGTAGTTAAATTATTTACTTACTTGTTTGAATTTGTGTTGTAACCTTTGAATAAAATGCCGTAAAAGAAATTTTTAGAAATAATTTTCTCGTGATTAATCGGTTGCAAAAGATCAAGAGGCACACTGACAAATTTATTAGCGGCGCCGGAGGAGATTTCCGACTGGCTGCGGTACCACCACGGACACTCGCGTAACCTCCTTTTCCACAATTGTCAAAATGAGATTGCCAAACTCAAAGCAATCATGGATTCAACATTTCATTTTAAATTCAGTTAGTATCAAATGGTACATGGTATTTGTATTTTGGGTTGCGTAAAAATAATTTTCAGAAGTAATTCCACAGCATAGATAACAATCAGTAGGGACAGCTCGTGTCGGCGCCTTTGTTCTTTCTGACCCGAATTTTAAGCCGTCATGGATGGTCGTTGCCTAAACTATTCCTAGATGTCGCCACCCAATTTAAAAAGCACGGCCAGCTCCATCAACTAAATACGGCCGTCCCATTTTTTCTAAAAGTTGTTCCTAAAAAGCATGCCATGACCGCCCTCTATTTGGCGTCATCTATCGGAGAACTGTCAAACACTGTCAAATTCAAATCCACGAATTGTCAATTTAAATATTTGATTAAACTCTTTCATTATTAAAGAAAATGGTTAAAAAGTGCTTTATTTGTGGTAGTACGGACATTCCGCTGTTTCAGTTTCCAGCGGAACATACTTTAAGAGCCAAATGGTTAGACGTCATTAATAAAGTTTGTGGTAAATTTGAATATTGAATATCAATGTAAAAATTCACATATTCTTCCTTAATTTAGACGTAACAAATATTAATGATTACTCGGTAATCTGTAAAAATCACTTTGAAGAAGGCTGTCTCAAATTTGTCAACAGGAGATACCGGCTGAATAAAGAAGCTGTACCCACTGTTGATGTAAAATTATTATTATATTATTTTACAAAATTCGAAATTATATTGCTTAAAGGTTGAAACATCTCCAGAACCTGAATTTCCTGTCCTGCCTTGCAGATTTGAAAAATATGTACAAGCTGATTTAATTTCTTTAAAAGAACTTCAAAATCTGCGGTACCACTGTAAAGTGTTAACTCAAAAATTGAAAAGAACCACACAAAAATACCATCAATGTTTGTCAAAAATTGAAGATTTGAAGCAACAGAAAAGCGAAAACTCTCCAAATGTAGAGCTTATCACTAAATTAGTAAGAAATGCAGAAGCTGGTGATGAAAAGGCGGCATTTCTGTTGGATTTATTAAAAAACCACTTTAAGCAGAAACCGAGACGGTCTGAGCAAACCATAAGAATGTCAATTATATGGAGATTTTGCTCTCCGAAAGGTTACCGATTCTGTCACACGAATTTGTTTAAAGTTCCTTCGAAAAGTACTTTATCAAGGTTTCTTGGTGAATACAAAGGCCAAAATGTCTTAATAAAACAACGTTTGGAGGCTGAAGTCCAAAATTTTAGAGTACCGGTTGAAAGAGTGTGTTCTTTAATAGTTGACGATATGTCAGTCAAAGAAAGAATCCAGTATAGTAGAACTGATGATCATATTTATGGCTTGGATACTTGTGGTTCCCACGAAATAGGCCAACGTCCCCAAATCGCAAATAAGATGTTGTGTTACGTTGTCCATGGGTTGTCGACGAAATATACCATTCCAGCGGGATATTTTTTTCATAAAACTTTATCCACAAATGATTTTCATGCGATTACTATTTCGGTTTTACAACTTTTGAGTGAAAGTGGATTTATTGTGTTGAGACTGGTGACGGATAACTTTTCGGCAAATACTGCACTTTTTAAAAAGTTGGGAAATGGATCTCTTCAGAATTATATTTCTCACCTTGTTCTGCCATCAATACCTTTGTTTTTGAGCTACGATTACTGTCACGCAGTGAAGAATGCGAGGAGTTTATTTTTAGACAGGGAAATGTCCTCTTCCGAAGGTGTTATTTCATCTACATATTTGAAAAAATTGTACGATTTACAAAAAGATTTGCCTGTTAAACCTGTAAGGTACCTAACCAGGAAGCATTTGTACCCTTCGAATTTCGAAAAAATGAATGTGCTGCGAGCCATTCAAATATTTTCACCATCAGTCACGGCATCTTTGAAGTTTTTGAAGGAAGCAGGTGATCCGAGGTTTTGCAACGTCGACGCCACTATTAGTTATCTGGAAAACATGTATAAGTTTTTCCAAATCCACAACGTGTCTAGTAGAACGTATTATATCCGTTCACGAGACAGCACGGTTGCACCTTATGCAGATGTATCAGACCAAAGGTTAGAGTGGTTAAATGTAACACTTCCTAATTACATCGACGATGTGCAAAGCAATTCTTCAAGAGACAGATTGTCTGGTTTATCAGAAGAAACAGCAGAGGCCTTAAAATTCACCGCCAAGAGTACATGCCTTTGTATAAAATTCTTGCTGAAACAAGTTGGATTTTACTACGTTTTAACAAGGGGATTCAGTTCAGATGCTGTTGAAGCTATGTTTTCCCATGTACGCCTGAGAGGAGGGTCTAATGATGCAACAGACGCAAGGGCGGCGGAGTACGCCCTACGTCAAATATTACGTTGTGGCATTGTTAAGGCTTCCACATCGGCAAATATTTCTGAAACTATCAGTTTTGTGAGTACAGCCCCATCAAAGACAAGAGAGGTAGTAGAACAACATATAGAAGATATGGTATTACCTTTTCAGTTAAGAATGAAAATTCAAAATTTGAAGACAAACATGCCTGCTAACAATACAATATATTCTGCGTCAGTAGCGTTCCTAGCAGGTTACATCATTAAGAAACTGAATGACAAATTAAAGTGTGACGTGTGTGTATCACCATTAGTTTCCACAACACTTCCAGGGCCTTTACTCCGTTTGATATTCTTGCAAGATCGTGGAGGTCTAACGTATCCAAACGAAACTTTTGTTGGAATCATTAAGAGAATAGCTGACATTGTGCAAGAAATTTCACCTTTTTTAAAATATGAAATGCCATTATATCAAGCATTTCAGTGCTTATATCCTCATTTGAAGGAAAATTCGTTATTTTGTTGCCCCTTGCACAAGGATAAATTGTCTAGTATGGTTATCAATCTAACTGTGAAGCCTGTTCTTGACAACATTTGTCTAGAAAAAACGGACATGGTTAAGAATTTACAATTACGCCAAAAGCCATTAAGTAGAAAAGTACTGAAATTATAAATAATGTAAATATACATTTGCGATCGCATTGTCCAAGATATTTTCACGAAATTATGTTCCTTAGTAAGTCCCTTACTGTTGTTTTGGTAGGTACTTGTCGTTTTAGACTTTGGTAATTTGTAAGCATTTCAATAAAACTGTTTGGTTGTATAATTTAGTGCCCTATAATATATTTGTGTACTATTCAAGGCGATTTTCAAGAGTAGTATTGATTAAAATTACTATTTACAAACCGTTTTTAGTTCAATTACGTTGGACATCGACGATTCACTGACATACATGACAATTAAAATCAACAAACCTGACCAAAAATGTCGTGTTTGATAACACTAGTAATCAATAGATGTCACTGTATAAGGGGCGATTTTGACAGATCTGCAGAAACAATTTGCCTAATGGAAATTT